CCATACAGATTCATGTCAAAAATACCGAACTATCCCTTTAATTTGGAGTAAAATGCTCTCAACCACTCATACATTTCTGACACATTTGGAAATGTTTATTTTTCTTTTTTTACAAACTGCAGTAATTATAAAAGAGTTCAAAACTGAGATTATTGGGTGGGGCAGGGGTAAAGCTATTTAATGAGGCTTAGGTCCTCGATGCTTTACTCTCATTTCCTGTTTACTTGCTTTCAAAAATAAAGGTCGCCAGAGCCTTTATTTGATTATTTTTAAGGTTGTGATATTTTTTAAGATAATTACATTTTCGAATGAAAAATATTTCCTCTTTAAAGCCTAATAATACTTAATCAGTTGATTGAGCTCAATAAGGAAATATCTTCCATCAGTCTAAAGAGAAGTTCAGCATAGAAATAAGTGACAAAAGACAGAATAGCTGATCCTGGAAAAGTCTATTTGTTGCTGAAAAATGTTTTCACAATATTGGGATTAGAGAACATTACTTAGTCCAAACTTGCTCATTTAATTATTTAAAAAGTTAAATATCAATTAATCTGTTTCCTGTATAAGGATTCTACTTCAGAAAAATTTACATACCGGTAATTTTAGTTCAGTCATTTGTTCATTTAATATATATTCTATATAATATAGTATATATATTATATATTCAATTTTATTCAGTATTTTTTTGTAAAATTGAATTGAATGATTTGATACAGGCCTTAATATCAGGGTTAGTAGATAAATGAACAAAAAATTGTAAATTTAGAACTTCAGTCATAGAACACTTTATCTAATGTTTGACCTTATCTTGAAAAAGCTTTTTTTTTTCTTTTTTTCTTATTAATTTTTATAGCACTTTACATTATCAGAATATCTTATTTTTTATATAGTGTATCTAATCTGGAAAATTAGCTTTTTTTTTTCCAAATGTATGACTTCACGTCCACATCAGAGCATGTTTAGGTTTATTTTTCTCACTAATATGTGGAACTGGTATAGAAATGTTTTAGCTTTTTTGGTGAGAATCTCCTTGGTTTGTTTCCTGTTTCTTATGGAACAAAAACTGTGATTTGAACTTTATCATCATGATATTCTTTGTTAGTTTTTAGATCGTTTAAATTCAGTTAGCATCCTCTTCTCTTCGCAGAGTATATCTGAGCCTTTCCAGATTGATCCTTCTCCTGCAGCTGAAGTAGAGGCTAGTTTAGCTAGTGAAAGGAGTGATGGTGATGATGATGAAGAAACTCTCAAGATTATCCACCAGAGACCTTTAAGTAGCAAAGTGGGATGTGATGAGCAGGAGCAAACTGAGCCACTGCAGCAGTAAGTGAGAATTTTCTAGTTCTAATTTAAAGTTGAATATTCCCAATAAAGGAAAATGATTAGATCCGTTTAGATGCAGATAAGTATGTTTGTTTTGTTTTTCCTCCTTTCCTTTAATTAGCGACCAAACATCGAAGGAGCTTTCTAAACTTCTCAAGTCTCCATCGTGCATTTCTTTAAACAACCCTTCAATACATCATGAGAACAAGGAACATAGGAAAGGTCTGAGAAATGGAAACGATAAAGTCCTGGAAACTCAAACGCAGAGGTGAGTCTTCAGACCGGAACAGAAAAAAAAGATTTGATATGAACTGATGCATGTTTCGATGAAAAGGTGGTAATACATTTTAAAGCCGTTATGTTTTGTTCCTTCAAGTGTCGTCTGCTTGAAATGATTTTCTTCTTTGAGATCAGGATAATTTTACTGACCTATGGACACACTTGTATTTCTGGAGCAGAAAAGTGGACTCAGACCACGACTCTCCACCTTATCCAAGCAGTCAGCGTTGTTCCGTCACCAGACCTCCTCCCTCATGCAGTCCGTCCTCTGCACGCAACAGAAGAAGGTTGGAGAGGAAAGCGTCTCCCAGCAGCAGCATGAGCAGCCTAACGGATGCCGGATCGGCATGGAGGAACTCCGAAGTTCAAACAGGAGGCAGGAAAGCGCCGCCTCAGGCGAGTTTTAGCTGTCATTTACAGATATGGCATCAGTTTATCTGTTCTATTCTAATCTATTCCGACATGTTTTCTTTTAACTACATTTTAAATCTTAATTGTTTCCTTAAAGTCATAAGGAAGCAGCTGTTAAAATGTTTGCATTTCCGAATTCTCCCGAGTGGTCCACGACTTTACACGAGTGAATAAAGTGAATGTGATTGGTCGTTTATGAAGGTGGCAGGGTTGTTGTGGCGGAAGGGTCGCAAGAACGTTTGGTTGTGGCCAGTTTGTTGGAAGCATCTTGCTATGGACAGCGGAAACATGCAAGAGGAGGAGAGTTTTGTGTCGGAGGTCATGGATGAGTCTCCTCCTTCATCCATTTTTTATTTAGATGAGGAAAGCGGGGACAAAGTTGTTGTGGAAGAGGACGCCAGAGCGGCAGAAGCTTGGTTTGGTGTAGAAGGCTTACAGCCGTACATGTTGAACACACGTGAACACTAGGATGTAACTCAATGATAAAGTAAATTATTTTTTTTTTTTTTCAACCATTGCGAATATTAGCTGGGACATATGAATCAAGATGCTATGACAGAAAGAATTTGAATGACAGATGAGCGTTGATATATGATTGGTCGAATTTAGGTGTTCAGGCTGACGTATAACTAACTGGCCTGCATAAAATAACAAAAAAAAAAACACAGATTTTAAGACTTTCTTAATTTTCTAACTTTTTGGACAATATCTTTTGATAAAGAGTACATTTATAAATGTGTTTAAGCCAGAATGATTTGACATTAAAATATAACTTCACTACGACTTTAACGCCATTTGTGCATACAGCCTTGTTGAGAATGCTCTAGATTTAGAATGGCTTTAAATGGGCTTTTTTATTTTTTTTTTTATCTATTTTTTTGCAATGTGACTTAAAGGTATAGTGGAAGACATTCTTTTTCTGGGTGGATCATCAAAACAAGTTGTCCCCCTATATATCAATCATTCTGGTGATATGTTTACGTATTATGTGGTGTGATAAAATAAACTGCATCAAAAATAAATAATAGCCTAAGGCTAGGCGCTTAGTCAATAAAACGGAAAAAATGTATATTTTGCTTATAGAGATTTTATTTTTGGTAAATCTTGGATTTGTTTCCCAAATCCGCTCCTCCGGCTTCCAAAGATCAGGGTGGCATCAGTTACTGTTCTTAGCTGTATACTCATAACTGTTAAACTAGCTGGGATAACACAAGATGCAAACATTTAGTTAGTTGAATTTTTTTGTTTTATGAAACATGATTTTTACACATCTTGAATTTTATTGCCCTTCAAATTATGGTCAGCTCCCCAAAAGGGATGAGTGAAATCAAAGCAAGTTTTCAAAAGTAATATGTGTTGTTTGTCATTTTGATTATGAAACTTAATTGAGAAACGATTGATTAATTGGATTTGGAAGAAAAAAGGGAGGTTATAGCTTTTTAAGCCATATTGCCCTGCTCCAGTTACTACCTGTTTTGGACCCAAAAGGGTCTTTTTATATATATATATATATATATATATATATATATATATATATATATATATATACACATACACTCAGCAAGTGCTTATTTTAAATAATCGTGGCTTCAAATCTGACAATAATGATGATGATTATATTTGATTACATTATTGAGCAGCAATTGTTTTATCACTCTGTTTTCCAAGCAGCTGTATTTTATCGTTTATTACAACAAACTGGGAAGTGGTTGTAAAGAATCTGAGAATCTGACACTCCTCCACATAATTAACATTATGTTAGAGACATTTGAACCTTGCTGTCTAATTGTTATCCAACACGTTGCTCTGGCTTTGTGGATTCTCATCATTGATTACACAAACTAAAGGCTTGACAAACACATGTTAATATATACACGTCTTTTTTCTGATCAGGATCGGATCATCTCTCCAGAAACAGACAGTGGGTTTGTTGGTTCAGAAAGCAGCCGTCTGCCTCCTGCAGCAGTTCCCCTTCTTTCCCACCAGAGGGCAACAGAGAGGTCATTATTCCAGCAGCATTTTACCACCATCTTCTCATTTTGCTTACTTTTCTTTCCTTACACCATAGCAGTTGTAAGGACAGGATTTATAGCATTTTTTCTTTTATCTCACCTGTTCTTTCTCTCTTTGTTTTTTGGAATTTCCTGATTCGGTCCAACAGTGTTTCTGCACCTCAGGACGGAAGCTCTAAGAGACAGCAGCCAGCATCTCTGTCCCCAAGTCACTGGGATCAGGAGCCCATAGATGACCCCACACTCGACTTCAATCAGAGGAGGAGAAGCAGGCAGAGGAGGCGTAACCTCTCCTACTCTCCTAAAGGCTTCATCAGTCAGAAAAAACAGGACAGAACGGATGATAGATCCAGTGATCTTGCGATAAGTGACTCAAGTACAACTAGAAGCAACGGTAAAAATCCACTCAAGATGATGTAAAAAGTTTTTTGATGGGTTTATATCTCAAATTCTCATCATCTGAACAGCGATTGAACCTTTTTTGAGGGTTTTTGCCTTTATGTTTCACACGTGTTTATCTTGTTTAAGGTTGACATAATTTTCTCAGTGTCACTTCACCTTTATGAGTCAACATTCTCGCTTTAACATATTTTATAAACATATTGACACAAAATACAGAACAAATAATTTTGTGAAACTAAAATTACTTTAATGCAATAAAAAACCCAAACCTGCTCATTGAATGATTGTTTCTGAACATTAAAATGTAAAAACAGTGACATATATGTACCCTTTATTTTAACTCTCATTCCTAGTATTTCTTTTGCAACAAACTTATTCTATTGAATACAACCAAAACTAATATGTTCCAAACTTTTCTTATTATTAGATATTAGAGTTTATAATTTCAAGCAGGAATGCTTTTTACCAGAGTGCTTAAACACTTTTCTTCAGGTTTAGTTTATTAGTTGGGACAGAGTGGTCCTACAGTCCTAAATGTGAACATATAAATCTCTGTTAGTTGGAACCGAGTTGACAACATTAAGTGAAAATATTCAAGTATGTTTAATTTTTAGTTTTCAGTGTTTTCCTGCTGCTCTGTCTGTTTCTACAGCCGCCTCGGCCTCTGAGGAGCAGCAGAGCGACCCCTTCACTGGAACTATAGCCTCCCCACTCAGCTCCCACTCCACCTCCAGACCAGTTGCCAGCCGTCGCCACGGTGACCCTCTCAGAGCACCAAACTCCAGCCAGGCAGGGAATCACAAGTGAGTGTAACTGCAGGTGCCATGGCGATAACTGAGTAAACAAGGCAGTTGCTCGGAGCAACTCCTGCAAACAAGTGCATTTAAAGCCAGATCTAAACAAGGACGTATTCTAGATCCAGCTCACATGGATGGAACTAGATCATCATTAGGAACAACTGTGGCTACAGATCTATTAAAGTTACTTGGATTTTCTTTTCTTCTTTTGGTCTAAAAATAATTTATTTGACGATTTCTGTGACCAAACAAATGTACAAATCATTCAGTAAGACCTATTATAATCTTTATGCAGGACATATGAGATGAATACAAGCTTGTATGTTTATAGTCTTGTAATTTCAAATGGTTGTAATTTGCTGATGTGTTCAGGAAGCCTAGGTTGCCTTAGATATAAATAAAAAATTATATTGCCAGATAAACCTGTTTTTATGCTACAGCCAGAATTTCTCAAACACTCACAGATTGATATGACAGGCCGATTAGTAGGAAACTCTGGATTAAAAGCTCTGCTAAGGGGTAGAACAAAATGTTATCGGAGGAAGAGAACACCTGTGGATCCCTTAAAATGAGCCGAAGGGTCTTTGTTTATGCAGGTTACATTTTTCTGCAAATCTGTGCTTCTCAGCTTTGTACTTATTAGGCTTCTGTAGTTCAGAGCAACTTAGTTCATCCTTTTTATAACTTATAAACTAGCTCACACCACTGCAAACAGCTTGTAGGTTATCTTTTAATTGCCTCCAGTGGCAACACCTGCAGAGTTTTTTTTTACCGTTTAATTTTATTGTTTGGATTTAGTTGTAGATTGAATTTAGCTACACGGGTTTTTGATCAAAAAGCAATATTATTAGATTACAAACACACTCTAAATGCCTCACATTGTGTTATTATTGGAATAAGTTAGCTTTTTTATATTCTATTTTCTTTAAGACTCATGTATAATCCTTCTTAATTCTCTGTATTTTATTTCAGAATCTGCAGCTTTTGAATGAGATTACTTATAGGAGGTACATTCTATTGTTCGCTGCATGGTTTGGTGTTGCATGTTTATTTTCAGAGCGTGTCAGTGTGTTTATTATGAGACTGACTGCTATGTACTAATCTGATTTGAACAAAGCTTGACCTGAGATCTTCACATTAAAGCCGATTTTCTGCTCACATTATTTGGAGTTTACTGATAATTACCAGAGATGTCTTTGTGTGGGTTATTGATTTATACTGAATCTAAACTTCCAGGTAGATTAATTTTTATGGTTCTGTTGTCTTCTTTTTTATCAGGGATGTATTAAAGACACTTCAGCATGAAGTAGATAGACTCAAGGAGAAACTGGATAGCTCTCTGAGAAAAAAGGAGCCTCTCAGCGCTGTGACAGCAGCTCCTTCAGCTCAGAAGAGCTGCTCTCATCGCGACACCTCTTCACCCCTAATCAGGTCTGTTTTTATCCTCTGTGTGCAGATAAAAACTGGATTTTTATCTGCTGTTTTTACTGATTTCTGTTCAAAATGACTCCCATGACAAACCCGATTAAAACACGGTTTATGTGTTTAAAATGAGAACATGAATTATTTTCAAACTTGTTCCTTTTTTATTGCCGCAAATAACAGTCAGTTCAACCAATCAGCAACCTGTTGGTGTAAGTCGGACAACCTTGAAATAATGTTAATGAATAATTTTATTGGGCACAGTCTTCTCTGGAAGCAGCCTCTCATCATCCTGCTCTCTGACTTTGAACATTTGACCTTTCTGCCTCCTTCTACATCCAATCTTTCAGACAGGGAAGACATGTTTCATCCACAGCCCTCTTCCTCTGAACTTTAGAGTTTCTCTGTCAGTTTTAGTTCTAAAGTTTGACCTGGCCCTTACAAAACTTCCATTTCCATCAGGATGACGCCAAAAATTAACCTTTTTGACGTCATGAGCACAAGTTGTGGTTTGGTTTCATGGGGTGATAAACTCATCCTTTCAATATATTTGGCTGATTTGTTCAACTCACTTCTTATGGTAGACATATGATGAACATAAGAGATTGATGCAACTTTAGGAAACTCCTCTTAAAGGTGCTGTAGGAGATCTTTTCTGATGCATTTTTTTTACTTAAAGATCTCCCCACAGCCAGGTGCAGTAGGAGATCTTTTCTGATGCATTTTTTTTACTTAAAGATCTCCCCACAGCCGCTTAGTAAGCAGTGAAATAGAAGGTCTGGAAGTGAAACTAAAATAAATGCTCCCCGCTACAGTGAGAAATCAATGAATAACCCCAACCAATCACAAAAGATAGTCTGTTGTACACGATTGCTTCCTGACACGTCAGTCATGGTCGTCTGCTTGTCCCTCCCCGTGTGCGTACCCTGACACATGAACGAATCGACCCTCCAATGCTCGTGCAGGACGCCATGGCTGGACGCTAGCCACTGTTATGCTACGTTCACACCTAAAGCAGCAAGAGCAGCAAAAAAGAAAAAAAACTTCATGACATTGACAAAACATTGTAGAATATGAAATATATTCCTTGAGGGTTTGTTACATTTTTATTCTTCGTTCTTTGTATCCAGGGAATGTTGGAGTGATGTCAGTCTGGCGAGGAGATCGACTCGATCTATCGACTCACTCGACCAGGAATCTGTTTCCTGTAAACCATCGAGAGCGACTACATATGCTTCCCCAAAACAGCAGCAACAAAGCCATGTCTGTAAGTTCATCTAAAAAGATGCATGGTCGATGGCATCAAATTAAACTTACAGCCTGTTTTATGAACTGTAGTTAAATATTCAATCCCTAACTGAATAATTTGTGAGATCATTTAAAAGAATTCATCAATCTGATGATGATCGGTATCTGTTATCCTGGGGTTTTTCATGAGCATGGTGGATGTGAAATGTTGCGACCTTTTTGCATAAATTCATCCTATATTTTGGCTTCATTAAAGACATGTTGTTCGATGGATCATGTGTTTTCAGTAAGGAGATCAGATGTGGAGCAGCAGGTGTCCAGATGTACCCAAACATCTGTACCAGCTCACAGCCTCCCTACGGTCAATGTGCGCAGCAGGAACACACAGACATGTAAGGATTTCAGCATCATCTTTCTCAAAGCTTAACCTTTTTGAGCACATAGCTTAAGGCTGTTGTCAGACCTCTTCTATTTTAAATGAAATATAATTATGCAGGTTGAGTGGTGAAGGTGAAAGAGCTTTATTCACTGTTTTGATTTGTGGGTATTTATTTATTTTTTTTTTTTTACAGGGATGTCTCCGGCTCCTAGTTCTTCTGATGAACCTGACGTCAGAGATCAGAGTCTTCACTGTCTTCAGTGTTCGTCTGTCCTCAGAGGACCTGCTGAACGTAAGTCATTCAGATTCATCATTAAAAAAAAAAAATCTAAACCTGTTTCTGAATTCATCCCTTATACACACTGAGATGTACCATGAGTTATCTGTTCTGCATGACATGTGCTAGTAGGGCCACTTGGTGGCAGCAGAGAGCTATCAGGTCCTACACCATCATTGGACACCTCAGACCTTGCAAATGCTGTTTAAAACTCTATATAGAGATTGTTTTGCTGATTTATGCTGGGATATATTTAAAGGAAATACATTTATTGAGCAGATAATTGTTTCTATTTCCAGATTGTTACAGAAACCATCCCTCCACTGACTTAAACCGCCAGCCAACCGAATCCTCTGACAGAGCCTCCAGTAGGAGATACACTGCAGCTTCAGTTCCACCCCCAGCCCTGCAGTATGTGCCTTGTTACCCACCCCAACTTTTGTAAGTCGCCTGAATGAAGAACAAGGTTTGACCAAACAAAATACTGGTTAATAAAGTGGTGGTGAAGTATTCAGCAACATTTATAGTGGAATTTTTTTTTCCATAGCTTTCCATGTCAAAGCCAGGAAGATGTTGGCCGTATTAACCTACTAGAATTAGTTTTAAATGGTTTACTTTGAATTAATACAGCATTGAAATATCTTAAAATCTAATATGTATTTGTTTTTCATCTTTAATCTCTTAAAAATAAACATACTGACATTTGAAGGAATTCTTTATGCATAAACATATTTCAAGATATCTCAAAAACTGGAGTTGGATCTGATATCTAAACTAATCTCATTTACTCATTTGCTGGTTTAACAGCACAACAATGATTAAATATATAATCAAGTCATCTGTAAAGACAGCCACACACACAAACTAAAGTCAGCATCTGGGATCTCTGAGCAAAAGTAACTCCTACATCAGGCTCAGAGAACTTAAGAGAGCATTAAGCTGCAGCTTTATTCCTCTTTAGGTCACTGCGTTACCAGCAGGACTTTTACTGTTTGTTCCTACAAGGTAGAAAGACCAGATCCTGAAGCTCATCTTAATGATAAAGGCACACTTAGTGTATCTACTGGTACTTACTGTAAGATCTTATGCAATGTTATCAGTAACTGGTTCACATGCTATTACTTATAATGGAGAAATGTGGGAATTTTTCCTCTTAAATTACCTAAAGTTTTTTTTGTTTTTCCTTGACAGACTAAGTGTAATGTCTGTGTAAAAAAGGTTTATTTCTAAACCATTTGCCAAAAATAATATTAAAGGCAATACCAGAAAACACCAAATATGAAAGGAATCACCAAAACAAATCATTATAGGAACATGTTCAAAAAAGGAAAGAAGTACGTCTCTGTCATTAAAATGTCCTTGAAATGCTACATACGTTAACTTTAACTTAATTTTCAAATAATAATCAATGTGTAAAATTGATTGAATCCACACTGCATCCAGCCAATGTTACTAAAAAGGCAGAAATCAGAGGAGCACACGTTACCTGAAAGGGATACAAGCTGTGTCGTAATAAGTTCATTCATTTAGTGCAACAGATTCATAGGGGGAAAAAAACTTGATAAAAAATGATGTGTAGTGACTATTTGTAAATTAAGTGATCAAACTGAACTTGACTGTGACCACATTAATCCATTAGTGCAGCTGGTTTGTGGTCCCTAAAAGACGTCTAAAATTCCAATTCCATGGTGAATTTTTCCAAGCTTGCAGGCAAGAAAGAATAAAAACAATGCCTGTTTACAGAATCTCCTATCTTATGCTCTCCTTGCTGCATTCAGTTGACTCACTAAATAAATGAATAAACTAAACAAAATGATAAACTACACATTTATCCTAAACACCTACAGGAAACAAAGCTATTCTTTAGAAATGTACTAGAAAATTTACACATTTCAGGACAATTCAGCTGCCTGTGAGACGGCGCTTAGGGTATCAGGGAGACACAGCAGCTGTCGCACTGTCATGAGACAATGACAGTAGATCATTACTGCCTTCACATGAAGTCACTAAACTCACTGAAAACTGAGAAAAAAGTGAGTAGATTGGTGTCCATTTCAAAAAAGAAAAAAGAAGGTGCCAGAGAGGTATACAAAGTTCCCTAATGTAGGCGCAAAGTCACTAAGTAAGCAGCTCTGGTCTGTCGTCTCCAGCAGGCTGCAGCCACCAGTCAGATTCATCCATAAACCAGCCTCACAGCACAATGGATTTTTTTGTTTTTTTTTAAAGTTTAAATTTGAACATTTCATGATATTAAAGTAAATGTTAAACTCCTCCTTTTTAATTTTTTTCCTAAACGTTTCACAGCTTTTATTTTGCTCTGGTGGTGTGCCACAACTAATTACATGTAGCGGAAACCCTGGCCTCTATCATTACAAACATAAAATGAATCCATATCAAAATAAAGCAGAGTATAGATTCAAAGATAATTTTGGCTGTATTCCAAATATTTTTCTGATTTCTACCAGCACTTATAACATTTTTTGGGCTCCCAGTGACCTGTGGTGTTAAAGAAAAGCGAGTGGTAGAAATACAGGAAGCCAAAAAGGTCCCAATTTGCAGCTTTCCAGCACCTGAAAAAAATAGAGTTTAAATGTGCCAGCAGGTGTGAACTAAACACTTAATGGCTCTAACCGTCACAACAGGTATGTGGTTAACATTTAATCTATTCTCACATTAGAGGACCTTATTTATTTTTGTCTTAACTTTTATTTTGAAAGACCAAGGTATCCTTTATCTTTTTCTTTCCTTATTCTAGAGAGATGGCCTTCTGGTTGGTTAAGCAGATGGTCTGTAGAGCATTACTAATTCAGTTTAGAAAAGGTGGTATTACACTTGACCAATTTAACTATGATTTCCACTATAAAAATGTTATTTTGAAACTAGTCCTGCTACGGAGAACCTGGCCACTAGTTCTTGATCTTCTGGAAGACGCAGATTTCTGTCTCGCACAATATCCAGGACTTGGACTGAAACTGTCACATTCTTTGTGAGCTACTCCTGAAATCAATATTTCTGCAGCCATGACTTTCTGGAACATTGCAGCAGAGTCAAAGGTTGATATACCAAGCTATACCAGGCTGCACTGATAGGAAAGAATCCCCAGCCAAGTAGGGACTGCATTTACAGTATGGTACGTCAACAAGCAGGCATGTATTTAAAATCATTTTTTGTTGGTATATTGTAAAATCAACATTTTCAGTGAAACATAATTTGGGTTTTTAATTATAAGATATAAAACTATTTTAAAATGCTAAGCTGCTATAATTAATTAAATAAATTCACTTTTTGATCATTTACGGGGAGTGGGTGATTATGTATGGGGCTCCGATTGTAAAGTTAGGCAGTAAAGAAAATTAGGATTTATGGTTATTTAGAGTGTTTTAAGAGAAGAATAAAGGGCTTATTTTTTTTCCCCGAATCATTTTTCTCCCCCTGTAATTCATTTAATTATAAAAATCTTACTTTGTTAAAAAAAAAAATATTTAGCTCTAAACTAAATATTTAGTTTGTTAAATATTTAGCTCCAAACTAAATATTTAGTTTGTTAAATATTTAGCTCCAAACTAAATATTTGGTTTGTTAAATAAATATTTAGCTCCAAATTAGATATTTATTTAACAAACTAAATATTCAGCTATCTATGAGCTAGATAAATATTTAGCTAGCTTGGTGCAAGCTAAATTTTTAGCTAGCTCCAAGTTAGCTAGATATTTATTTGGAGCTAAATATTTATTTAACAAACTAAATTTTTAGTTTAGAGCTTAAGATTTATCAAACTAAATATTTGATTTGAAAACTTAATATGTAGTATGGAGCTAAATATTTAGGAAACTAAATTTTTAATTTGCAAACTAAATATTAATTTAACAAAGTAAGATTTTTTATAAATGAATGAATTTCAATTCAGTTTATTTCTATAGCGCCAATTCACAGCACGTCATCTCAAGGAACTTTACAGTTCACCAGATCATACAGTCAAATTGATTTAAAGTTTTCTATCTAAGGAAAACCAGTTGATTGCATCGACTCACTGACTCGAATGCAATCCCTCACACTAAGCATGCTTGTAGCGACAGTGGAGAGGAAAAACTCCCTTTTAACAGGAAGAAACCTCCAGCAGAACCAGGCTCAGTGTGAGCGGCCATCTGCCGAGGCCGATACAAAAAGCAGCTGTAAAAGGCAACCCCATCCAGGAAACACAGAGCCAGGCAGACGAGCTCTGAGCCAGCTCCCATGTCAGAGCATGAAGATAACACATCCGGCCAGTCACAATCAGAGAAACAGGACTACACCGGAAACAGGCCGATCTCCAACATCTATAAACAAAGGTGTTGATGGAAGCAGCACAGCTGATATTTCTCTCCATAATGGAGTCACAGCCAAACAGGAACAGATGAGGCAAAGCTACTATGAGAAAAAGCAGAGAGAGCAGAACGTTAGAGATTGAACTAACAGATTCTGCACAGCGGGAGAATAGAGAGAGAATGAAACAGAATGATCAAATAGGGGTCCCTATGTCTTCCTGGAGTCTAAGCCTATAGCAGCATAACTATAGTGATAGCTCAGGATAACCTGAGCCACTCTAACTATAAGCTTTATCATGAAGGATGGAAAAAAAGACTAGAAGAAAATGACCCCCTATTTTTCTCTTAAAACACACTAAATAACCATATTGCTCCTAATTTTTTACTACGTAACTTTACAAATGGCACCCAATAGAATGTGATCCTCAGATGTAAAAAGTCCTAAAGTTATAGTATTATTTATTTCTTTATTTTTACCAAGATGTACATGTTTCCATTTTATAGATTGTGCCCCACTCCTGTGTATACGTCTGACATCATAGAGTCAGGACTGATGAGACGCTCCAAAGAGAAGACTGGGCCGAGAAGACGCTCCCGCTCTGACGGTCACCGTTCAGTGGATGGCTCTCTGGACAGAGCCATCAGAGCAGCTCAGAACATGAAACAGACATCCAGACACATGGCTTTCTCTCTGGCTTCAGGTCTGCAGTACCATAAGCTGCTCACTCAGTCCTGCAGCCACTAGACTCCAGACACCAGAGAAGAGTAAACCCAGTAGTTCAGGTTAGTTCTGGGTGAGGCAGGACAGCAACTCGACCGCAGTGAAAATAAATCTTTCAGTTTATAATGTTACACTGATTCATACTCAGGAAAAACGTTTCTGTTGATGTTTTGAAGTTGATTTTTCTGCTCCTGAAAGGGAATTTATTTCATGTTTACATTAGACGATTTGCTGCCATACACTAAAATGACTTGTTTTCCAATAATGAAGTAATGTAGATACTATTTTAATTTATTTATAGAATATAAAGAAAAAAATCAGTTTTTATAAATCCTGTTTGTGCTTTTATATATTTATTAGCTCTTTCTTGTAGAAATCTGAAACTAACTTCACACATGTATAAAAAATGTTTTTAACACAGTCTGATTCTGTATCTTATTTACACACTGCCTGCAGAGATCCATCTTATTATAGAATACCAGAGCAACATTAATTCATGTTATCAAGGTTATGTGACCATTGTTTCTTGGACATATTGACTGACGACTTGTCCACATCTACACCGACCAGCAGATGATGACGCTGGCTGAGCCAGTTTAAATGGTTCTTTGAGTTAAATCAAAACAAAAAGCTAAACTAGACAAACTGTACTAACTCAACTTTCTGTGTATATAATGGGGCATTTCAGTAGTTTTCATTTTTGTCTAGAACAGTTTTTTTTTTTTTTTTTTGTGGGTGTGTGTTAAGAGTTTAAAGTGAAAAAGGATTATTCTGTTTTGGGAAAAAGTGTCAGGCTCAGTAAATTAGATGAAGATGATTTAATCATCAATTCAATTCTTCTAACAGATTCTTTTTTGGATTTAGGTTTAGACTGATGATGCCTTTTTTTTTTTTTTAACCTAAACCATCTTGTAGCTTAGGTCATATGTTTAGGGAAACCGTCCTGCTAGAAGCTGAACCGACACCCTTACCCTCAAGTCTTTTGCCTTAAACAGGTTTTCTTCTAACATTGGTGAATATTTATCTCCTCCGATCTACATCTTTTTATTACTGTAGCTTGCTTGGCCCTGCAGAAAAAAGCCCACCCTGGATTTATGCTGCCACCATGTTTCAGCATGAAGACGATGAAGATAAGGAGTTTTGTGTTTTGCATGTACCCCAAAAAGTTACATTTTTAGTTTCATCTGTGACTAAAAACATGGTTTTTGATCAATCTAAAGCAGGATTTCTTCTGGCAATCACCGTCCATCTTCAGGCGAATCCTAAATGTCGGATTGGTAGATCGCAAAACTAGCAGTTGTTTAGTCAAGATTATATTACCCGAGCTGTGGGTCTCTGCAGCTCCTCCAGAGTTACCCTGGGCCTTTTGGCTGCTTTTCTTATCAATGCTCTCCTTCCCCGTCCTGTCGGTTCAGGTGGACAGTCTTGTCTTGGTTGGTTTGTAGATGTCTGATACACTTTCCAATTTTAATAGATTGCAAAAATGTGCATGCTTTTAAAATGAAAGAAAAATATAAATTTTTGTATATTTTACCCCAAGTTATGATAATTTCTACTAAAAATCAAGAGAAAATGCAGTTAAATGTTTGGTTGTAAAATGATGCAACGTTAAAAGTCCAACGGTGGTGTGATTCTGATTTAAAGCAGAATTAAATGTAATTTTTCTATGTAAATCTATGTTTGATAAGGTTAACAGTTGATCTTTAACAGTTTTGGTCTTTGCAAGAAAATATTTTTGGCTGTCCAGAATTTTCCAGGAAACAGCCTCATTTAAGTTTTTCTTAGAACGCATTTTCTTCTTTTCAGTCAAACCTGTGCGCATAATACTGTCTTTATTTTATAAACTAACAATTGAAAGAATGTAATATGCAATGGAAGCCAATTTATTAGACAGCCTTAGTACAGAATGGGTACACATGGAAGTACTGTTTGTGCTTACACACTCGCAAACATACAATCTCAATAAGTGAGACACTTTTAAGACTGACTATTCTTTTTTTTCTTTATAAATAACTTTTAAATAAATAAGGAAATTGGGCAAAATAAAGCTTATACAACAGTGAATGATGATTAAAAGTATTTGCATCACAGAAAAGTCATTGTAGTGCAATATACAACTTGTTTTGCCTGGAAAGAGGCTATGGGAGAGACGCAGTATCACATAGTTTTAGTTTTTTTTTTATCTTTGCAAAGCCATTCAACTTTAGGGAAGGGGTTTACATTGCACCAGAGGAAAAAAAAAACTGACAAAGTATAATATTTTACCTAGTTTACCTCTAACATCTAGAGCTAAAACATCACTAACAGTGGCTTCACATTAGCAAATTAAAGAAAAGGTTTCACTACTGCACTGTTGTAAAATAAATCACCATTCAACAGTAAGACGCTTAAACAGCAACATATGGCAGATACACAACACTACTCAGTGCATGGCCCAGTGACATTATTACTAATGAAAAGACCTTAGTCTGACAATTACAATACTGAAACACAACTGGACCTTTTTTTAGGATTACTCATTAGATATCAGCAAGCAACAGCCTTTTTAACAACAAGTCGTTTCAGAGTGGAAAAAAAAAAGAGTGCAGGACGCTACAGGAAAGGCAGTCGGAGGAGGGATGGTTTTAGCTTAAATGTAATTCTTGTTTTTCTCCTCGTCTTTCTTATCAAGCTTATTTGGTGAATACATAAACCAAGAACTTGTTTGTGTATCAAACACTCAGCAGAACCAAACGAGGAAAAAATATATCTGAAATACCTTTAACATTGTCCTCCTTATTTGTGCCTGTTATGTGCTTAACCTTTTAACGACAGTAATGTTTAGGAAAACGGCTCGGGTCATTGGATTAACATAAAATGGCAAATGAGCTAAAAAGGAAATTAAAGGAAATGATTTAAACCACTAAAATGTTACTTTGGAAAATTTTCATAACATATTTATGGTGTTACCTGGAATTATTTAATAAGAATTTAAAAATATGTGCTTTTAAACGGGTTAGCTTAGCCTGCTTGGTTTGCCTGTAGTCAACTGCAATGTTTTCCATGTCAGCTAGCTAGCTAGCAAAAGGTTGGATTATAACTTATAGGTTTAAATTTTGGTTTAAATGGCGGTGTCTTAGGTGTTCTTATTTAAGTTGTTTGTTGGTAACAATAAAATGTTAAATGTATTTATAAACTGCAATAAAAACTTTAGGCTTATTAGCATTATTAGCTAAGAGCCTGTTAGAGTTCCGCACCAACAATATTTGTTGTAAAAGCTAAATGTGGAAAATGTGATTGACAAACATTTTTGCTGGATTAATGCTAAGTTTAAAAAAAAAGAAAAAAAAAACATTTTGCAGTAAGCTTTCGCTAATTCGATTTTTTTTTTTTTTAAATCAGCATTTTTTGCTAACATTTATTGGCAAAGAAGCTAATCTTAAAAAGCACAGTGATCACCTACTAATGTATCTAGGATGTCAAAATAAAAACAGATAATTTAAATTTGAATATGTTTTCAAAACAATAATTTCCTTTTTTAAACAGTATCTCCTGAAGAATGGTTTCCCTTGGCTTATAGGCTTATGAAACTATCAGTACGCTAGCAAATATGCCAAACCTGATAGAAAATAATGCATTCAGTTAGGAGATAAGTTTAAAAAGGGAGGAAAGTTTGTACATAATTTAGTTACCAAGCATGTTTGAAAATGTTTGATACTCAAAGTAAAAGTTTTTGGTTGGGTATTCAACCTCAAGACAATAAGCTAAATAAATCTTCTGCACTCAAACCACCCGGATTTTACACAAACACAGAACAGTCCTCACAAGTCCAAGCATGCTACTGAATACAAACATCTCATATGGGCGGATAGTGCTCCTCTCTGTGAAATATGTATACATATATTGCATGATATATATTTTATAAAATGAATCTTTCAAAGTGCACATCCCCCTACGATCTGCCCAACAATAAAACTCACACCTAGGAGGTAAGCCAAAGGAACAAAGGAAAAAATATTGTTTACACATTCTAGCAGGGTTTATAATCATAGCATACAATGTCATTTTGGTGCTTTGCATTTTATGTGGCCTCATATTTATCTTTTTAAATAAATTTTGATAGTTGCATCCATTGTAAAACACAAGAATACTTGCAACAGTTTAATTCTTTGATATAGCTTTTTTTTTATCATCTAAGATGTCTTTTTTTTTCTCAAGCAATATGCATACAGAGTTGATGGATAGGATTTGGCTGGGGAAGATGTGGAGGTAACATGGCAGGGACGGTTAAGAGGGATGAAGGTATGAAGAGCAGAATTTGACTGAAGGATTTTAGCTCGTCACTTCCTCGTCTGGTTTGTTCATGGCCTTGAGCTGCTCCAGCAGGCAGGTGGGAGTGAAGATGTGGGTCGATCCTGGAGATGACATACAAGAAGAGCATCAGAGCTGTACATTGGTTTTAATACAGACTTCAAATGAATGTGTTTTCAGCTTTTGTTATGAATGCCTGCAGCAGATGACGGCAGCCTTGCATAACATTGAAAGAAAAGATGAAAGCCCGAAGTTATGAAATCATCAGTTAGTCATAAGGTTAATAATGAATCATGTTTCAAGGAGTGTATGTGAGAGGTATTTCATCCTGAGCTTTAGATTTGTATTCCTTCATTTTAAAAAGCTGCTGCCAAAGTCAAATGGAGCATAAATGTTTAACAATTCTTTACCTGTTTGCCCATAAACTTGGTTTTAAAGAATCAATTCTGGAGATCTAGGACTTCCAATGAAATATCTTTGTGTTTATTTTAACCAAAGCCTGAAAGTTATTCAGCAGCATTGCTGGGACTTAAATGCAATAGCATGCACATGCGGCCAAGACCAAAGGTCACAGTACAAAACGCATGAGCAAGCAGGAAATTACCACAAGCTGTCTCTACCAGAAAGACAGGAACACCTCACGGCTTTATTCCTGTACATACCAAGTTAGATTTTGTTTGTCAAATTTCATCTTCCAAAGTAAATAACATTTACTAATGAGATTGATTTGATATAATTGATTCAGTTCAAAACCTGAAACTTGTATGTGGGTCAGTTAAGCACGAAGATAAACTTCCTGTTTTTGGTTCTGCTCATTTTGCAGATTATGCATTTCTATTAATGAAAACCAAAAATTCAATTTCTCAGAAAATCTCAATATAAAGTAAGATCAATTTGCTTTTTTTTTTTTTTTTACACTATATAGAATACTTTAAGGTGATCAGTCTGGTTCCTATAAGAGTGACTTTCAGCTTTTGTACATGATTTGTTCTGATGTCTTTAATGGTTCTTCTGAGAGAAAACCAGGTTTGCTGCCAGTTAAGCTGCGCTATATCGTCTATATCCACCCATTTGTTGACACATCTGCAAATGTAGGCAGATGCCAAGTCCTACAAAAAGAAATTATAAAGGCTTTCAGAAGGTCAATTGCAAACTGTTGCCTGTTCATCTTCTATTACCACACTTCTTCATTCCATTAAACTTTCCATTAAAATGCTTGAATACAGCATTTTGTCAGCCAACTTTTAACAGTTTTTATTGTTGTTTTGATTAGTTTGTGCCAAACTACATATAATCTAAGATATAAAAAATGATAAAATATTTTGATGCGATAAAAAAACGTTTTCTGTGAAGCTTAATCTTGACTCTCTAATAGATGTTATCCAAATAGCCCAAAAAATAAACAGGATTTATCCCTTTGTGTCTAATCTATACAGAATTTGTACATTGAAATTCCAGAATTAAGTTTTTACTGAATAGGAAACAGATTATAGGACAGGTATCATGGTGACTAAAAGCAAAGTTGAACTAACAAAACAACTACCAAACATGTCAAACAGTTTGTAAGACTCTACGGGCATTTGTGGGGAAAACGGGACACTGACTAAATAGAAAAAAGGTTTAGAAAAATACTACTGATAAAGAATAGGTAGACATGAAATCCCAAATTTGAGAGGAAACTTGAAGCTCAGTGACCCTAATGAGACGGAGATGAGCAGTCGTGAAGCTGAAGACACATTTCAGACATTGTACAACTTGAAAGGTGTTTACAGGAGTAAAGCAAACGGTTTGTGCTCCACCACCTTACAAGAATTAGAATCAGCTTAAACTGTGACGATAAAAGAGACAAGCAGACACTTTGATTTACTCCCCACACCTGTTCAAACTTATTAACGGAGTTGGACTTACAAAGGCTTGTTTCTTTGGCAAAGCTGTGTGTTTTTATTATTACATGAGTTTATTTTCTTCACCTCAAAGAATTTGGAGCATCATTTAGAAGTGAAAGACAGAAACCCCAGTCAAGTTAAAATATCTGGATTGAGGAACGCACATTAGTGGACAGGCTCATAAAAACAAACAGCTTTGTGGGCCTTTGTTCCTGCCCCAGAAACACAGCTCGGACTTTGATTTCCAACTACACAAGTTCACTAAATGTGTAGAAAACCAAAACAACAAAGCTTAAACGGTAATCAGTTTTAGTTAGCGATGGTCTTTTTGCTCGGGATTGCAGCAGTATGCAGAGGAGCAGACCATACAGCTTGCTGTGAAAGATGATTTATAGTTTCTGTACCTTACTGTTTAACAGGTTAGTCATACATGAGATAAATGCTCTTAGGTTGCAATGTACTACCTTTAGACTTTAAGTGTGTTGATGTGTAGTCCTGCAGAAAGCATTTCAGTTAAACCCACTTTTGTTTTCCTTTAAAGCTACAGTGTGTAATTTTCAGCGACATCTAGCGGTCAGACTGCAGACCGCAGCAACATGAACATCTCCCCCCCACCGCTTCTCCCCCCCAACAGTACGGCGAGCGTTACGGGACAAAATGTCTTCCACGACGTCCGCATCTCCTGCGTTCTCAAGTGATGAGGTTTGTTTACATAGTTAATTTTACAGATAGTATTCCATTAGTCTGTGTA